TTGTTAGCACTGCCAAGGTGAAGAAAAGACCTGTCAATGAAACTTCTCAGGTATATGGAATACGGAGGTTGCAATTGGAAAATATCAGACTTAACTTAAAAGCCAGACTGTGTACAATCCAGGACAATATAACATTAAACATTTGATCTAAAATCGTGCGGCTTTATTACTTGCTTTTGTATGTTGACCATATACCAAAATCAACAAAGCATATATATCTGATGAGGCTCCATCCTCCGTCCTTTTTCTTCCCTCTAACCATGGACTTTCTGTAAGTCCGCGCATTAACTACCCTTTGCATTCGTTTGACTTCACTTCTTAAAAGAGAACTTCGTCTTCAACTAGACTCTGCGCGCAGGGTACGCATTAACGAGGACATGCGTGAGATTCAATGCGAGATATACATATACATATATTAAGATTTAATGATGTATTATATTGATTTATAAATTTTTTTTTTTTAATTTAAAATAGTGCTACTCGTACAACGACTAGACTTTTTATCACTACTTACACAGTATACCATGAAGTTAAAGTTATAGATTAAAACGACTGTTTGCAATTGTTATTTTCCATAGATTTTCTATTTGTCTAATTAATAAAATATATTTTGAACAATTGATGACAAATATTTTTCAAATAAATAAAGTGTATTTTAGACGATTGACGACATTTTACGACTAACTTCTCTACCATAGCTATAATAGGTATGTGCATATTGTTTGGTGCATACTCATGACATGGTCTTTGTAATATTCCTTGATATCTTGAGCGAAACTTATTGCATCTACTGTCGCTCGAGAAAAGTAAATTAATTTACTGACATCTATAAAAGTCGTACTTATTTATTTTACTCAATATAGAATCCAAAGTGATATTAACGAGTTATCAGTGACATCTATTTCTCTGAACAACGTTTTTGGTAAGGTCTTATTTGGAGAAGTGGAAGTCAGACCTATACTTGTGACAAAAATTGTTTCAATTTTAGAATATTTTGGTTTCATATCATTCCTTGTCATGTTTATTTTCTAAAATTACACAAAGATAGTTATATTTGAGGAAAACTAAAGATTTTTAAAATAATTACATTCATTTTTCAATTTTATGGTTACCATTTTTGTTATTTGGGAGAATTACCCGGATGTGAGTTACCAGTTTTTCACCACCAAGTATCTAATTCAGGGCAGATAACATGGCAGGATATTAGAGAGTTCCCTTAAACTTGAATGTTAATCAGTTTTAGTGGTTCAATTTTCATATTACCCTTATGTATCTGATAGTTATACAAATTGAAATATACAATTTTCCCCCATTTTGGCACTTTGAATCCTTTAAATAACTTCACCAATTTATAACATATCGAGGATCTTTTTGGGGATATCATGTTTGAGATTTTAAGGAATATATTGGTATGTCAACCGTAAATGTTGCTTGCAATACTACCAATGGTTCTGAATCTCATTAACTAATCCCAGCAAAGGAGGACGGAAAGTATCGCAACAGATTTCGGACAGTCATACTTTACAAATATTACATAGAGAAAATCAGATCTAGCGAACAGCCTAACAAAAAATTGTTTCACTTTTAGAATATTCCTGACTTATGTCATTCATTTTCATGTCTATTTTCTAAAAATCCCCAAAGTGCTCACTTTATTTTAGGAAAACTGAAGATTTACGAAAATATATTATCTTTCTATAAGAATGGTTACGATTCTTATTATTTGGGAGAATTTAAACATTTTTCACCCATTTTTGCACTTTGAATCCATCATAACTTCACCAACAATTTATAACATATCGTGAATTTTTTGGGAGATATTGTATTTGAGATTGTAAGGAATAGGTTTGTAGATCAGTTGTACATGTTGCTTGTAATTTTGTCACCCCCATAGATCTGATTCTGTAACTACTCAGTTCACGTGTTTTCTATTGTGCCGTTAATCTCTAAACTTTCAATTAAAGTTAAAATTTGATCTCCCATTATAAATAATGTATATGTTTTTTATTGCAATAACAGCATCGATAGTCATTTCAATTTTATGCAAAGTCCGCAGTTCTATTACTTAACAAAGTTGCGTCTTCTCAATACATTTTGTAGGATTATTAGAGCAGCGACCTATCCTCAGTTTGGAAGTCTGAACAGAAAAGGCTCTTTCCCTGACCAGAACCATGACGATATAAACAATTATATATGTTTAGATTAAAGTGGAAGTCCAAACCAATGTTTCAAACCGTGACATTATGCATCCGGACATAAATAAGTAAATAGCAAATTCAACAAGATGCAGAAGGAGTCGTTTACTTACTGTATATGTAAACATATTATGTTTGAATACAAAATATAATTAAAAAATACAATTAACATCTCTGTGAGTCTATTTGGTCACGTTAAAACACAAGTAAAATTAAATAAATTTGTATATCCCAGAACAGAACACTGAGACAGAAGGGCTTCAAGATGCAGATGTGCGTGCATGATCCTCCAACTGACTATAAAATAAATACTAGAGGATTATTTTTATATATCGAGTCTTGTGATTTCATAATATCCTTCTTACTGATATTTATATTCTTTCAAGTCAACTACTTCCACTACGAGGGCAATTATCTGTATATTGGCTTGGGTTTCGTACCCGAGCATTTCCGTTGTTTATGTTGGTATGGCCAATAAAGTTCGATAAATAGCGGAAGAAAGATCAACGATCGAATTCATTTATTCAGCGCGTTCCTTCTAACAGAGGATGTATTTGTTCTGGTCTACGGGACAATTATTTCTCGTTCAGATGTGGGTATCACTCATCACAGAGGCACAACATGGCCTGGCTTGTTTTCTCTAAAAACACATCGAAACATCGCCCACGTAACTCGAGACAAAAGTCAAAATCTGCACACCAAATGAACATGTTTTGCAGGTCCTTTTGAACCAAAACTTCGAAAAGATAAAATATATACGCGTGGGACTCTCAGTTGAAATGATGAGGATTCTTAAGAAGCGTCCTATAACGCCTGGTAATCCTATATCAGATGTGATCACAGAAATTGTTTATAGCAACGTATCACCCTACCCCCTCGACCAAACCGTCCACTGACAACACGATACTCATGAAATCATAAATCTTATATTACACTGATCATGATGAGAAAAACTACGAGGCAGTTTTTGAAGATGGTTCATCATTGATACATTGTTCCTGGAACTAACTCAAATATTTATCTTCCACCAAACAAATTGCTTAAACTACCACTCGAGCATCATTCCTGAGGAATCAAAGATTTTCAACATATTTGATGCTAGATTGAATTTTGCTTACAGTCGTGTTAGGAAACATAATGACTTTTCAATGAGGGAACCGTACGCTGAACATTTCCGTATGGGCCTTTCAGAATATATGTATTTAAACTCTTGTTTAGAGGTATGTGCTTGTTAAAAAGAAGAGATTTAGAAATGATTGACACGGTAGCAATGGTGCGTTCACCTGTTCATGGCACAATTGTGGCGTTGTTTAACTCAAACTTTTAAATCTATTTCATGATAAAATTCGCAAACATAGGTTAAAACCATGCAAACCAGCTTGTAACTAGTTTGTATCTGAACTAAATAAAGAAAATGAATATTTTGTCATAATAAAATTCAAATTGATGGTATGAATTAAAACATTGAAAAGGAAGATCCTCGTTCAATTTCAACGGTCTCCAACTGTCAATATTAAGACAAAAATCTAAATAGACTATGCTAAAAATATATTTTTGAAACATTGCGTCATATCTCTATGAAATTATCGGAAACATGGAATTTATTTCAGCTAGCTCCAAGAGGTCAATTTGCATCATCTGCCAAACACTTGTATCAATAGCAAATCCAGCTGTAAATGACACTCTATATTTCCATTTTGAAACAGTTTTTGGGAATCGCATTACTAAACATTGTGATTCTTGTAGCATTCGATACTGCACTGAAATTATCATAAATCTGCGTTGTTCAGAACATTTATGAATCGAAGCACTGGGTTCGCTAATGATGGGATCTGTGAAACAGTGAACAAAACAATATTTTTCTTGAAAACAACGAACCAATGTGTGATGTTTCAAAATGTAAAAAGACGTTTCAATCGATGCTCTCAAATGGTGATTACATAACATTTAAGAAAAATAAATGCGCGTCAGTCTCAAATATTTCGTGTAGGAATAAGCTGCTGACACCCGTTGACACTAAGATGGCCATGGTGATAATGACATGAACAAAACGATTCTGACATTGGGTTTTCCAATATCGTCAGCTCTTCAACCATTTTGAAATACTTGATTTCCTCGATTTTAACTGTTTTAATGAAAATCTTTCAATGATTCAATTGCGTTCGTAGATCAATCAAAATACTAGTATCAGCTCTGGTGATACAGATTTACCTTAAAAGAGATCTTCAATGGCCCAAGTTAATCAATTACAGAGATAAATTGAAACTTGGAAAGTTTAAAAAGAGGAGAAAATGTAGATATTTTCTTAGGCAATATTTTGGGATTATGCATTGACCTTAAATAAATGATAAATCAGAGTCCGTCTCAGGCATTATATGATTAGGGACCCGTGCAGGCCGTGGTCAAGAATTTAAAATAGCCAAGACATATTTGAGTTAAATGGGAAATGCATGCTATCATAAGCTAAGTTTACAGTTTTAATTTAAAGATTCTGAATTGGTTGAAATGAGGCGCATCGTGCCAAAACATTTTTACTTCTCCATGCTCTAATGTATTGAATGTAACTGTTTGTTCATATAGCTTTATTTTAAAATCACGGTAAAATTATACAAGATTTCATCTTTTCTTTAGAAACGATGAGGAATATGTGAGTAATGTGTATCTTTATTTTATGAACGCTTGGATCTACGAAAAGTTTAGGCAGATATTTAGACTGCTTCTGATTGGTTGGTTCTGGCTAAAATAACACCTATGGTCTATGCCTAATGACAGGATCCACAGCTGCCCTTCTCGTTATCTCGCCAACGTTCAACAATTTGTTACAGAGCGATTTCTAACTTACTTCTAAACTCAAAGTTTTTAAACTTCTATGATAATCTTTATGATAATATATCGATGATTTCTCAACATGTAATGGATTCTTGTGGTTTTTGTCCTGGCGATTAGGAACTGATTTCTAAGTAAGTTGAAGAAGACATCGACCATCCAGTCGTAGCGCATCAGGTAGATGTAAAAATCAATGAGGCCAATATGAAAACAATGTAAAAGAAAACTACATGTAAACTAAATAGTGGAACTTTTTCTTCCCATTTTCACAATTACAAAATTGGATTGGATCAACAAGTCGTGGATTCTACGGACAGTCATGAACGCTCCCACACTTCACCACTACCAGTCGCCCTTTTCTACGAACTGGCACCAGGCCCCCGGGCTTCAAAGGACATCTATATCATCTCTGTATGGAGGTGGTGGCTTTCCAAGCTACCATTCTGTGGCAGACTGGGGATTAAGTCACAATACTTCAACATCAAGTATGAGCACAGGGGGACACAGTAACAATACAGCGGCACATCTACTCTCCAGGGACCACCCCGCTTCCGAGTTTCTCGCCACTGCACAATCGCACCCAGTCAGTGCCTCCCATGGACACTTGTCGTCAGTTGACGTAAATGCTGCAACAGTTCTGGGCTACAACAATCCTCTCGAGTCAATGTTTAACGCACAGTTTAATAAAACAAGCATCCCACTGTCACCAAAATCCACAACAGCCTCGTCAGATTCAAAGTCAGCAGGTGAGCCTATGTTAAAACTCACACCAGAAATATGTTACTATTACACAAAAAGTTGATTAGGCTAGCTAAAAACATTATGACATCGCAAATCCTGCGGTAAAATGATTGAAAATTAAATACAGATTCATACAAATGTACTAATATACATGGTGTAGAAATCAAAGAACCATGGAATATTAATGCAACAATCATCCGAGAAAAAAGGCTCTGAATGTCGTTTATATTTCTGCCGTAACTCATTCTGAAAATGCCACTTCGGTCTAAATACTCTAGTTCAAGAATTTCTGAAATTAATCTCAATTATGAAGTTATCTGACATTTTATAAACACTTTTTGAGGATAATCGATTTTCTCCTTTACAGATACCACTTTGAAAATGTATTTTCCCGCCAATTTCAAAATACGCATTTTTTTTTTAAATGTAAAATGTTTTACAAAAAAATGTAAAATATGATTCGAATGAGCATTAATAAGAATTTCCGTGTACAAGAGGTTCGTTAAATAAAAACAAAATTCAAATTACAAAATTCAAATCACTTTTCTCCGTTTGGGTACGTCGGATATACGAAAGCTATTTATCTTATGTGCTTATTGCTTTGATTTATAAATCAACACGAGGAGCGATGTGTAGTTGATGAATATAATTTGTTGTAGAATTGGAGTTTGCAATAGTCCTAAAATCAAAACTTTGTTTAAAAACATCTTTAAACCCGAATTAAAGATATAGCAGTCTGATAAGAATCTTACCCTTTATGTTGTTATAAAATAGCCCTCCATTTATAACAAGCTAAGGCAGCTGATAATACATCAATTGCAGTTTTTAAGAGTACATTAATATATAAACATCAGTTTGCTTATATACCTAACATCATGAAAAGGGACATGGATTTTCTGAATTTCCATCCAAATCAGAAATATATTTTTGAAAATATGAAAATATGATTCGAATGAGCATTAATAAGAATTTCCGTGTACAAGAGGTTCGTTAAATAAAAACAAAATTCAAATTACAAAATTCAAATCACTTTTCTCCGTTTGGGTACGTCGGATATACGAAAGCTATTTATCTTATGTGCTTATTGCTTTGATTTATAAATCAACACGAGGAGCGATGTGTAGTTGATGAATATAATTTGTTGTAGAATTGGAGTTTGCAATAGTCCTAAAATCAAAACTTTGTTTAAAAACATCTTTAAACCCGAATTAAAGATATAGCAGTCTGATAAGAATCTTACCCTTTATGTTGTTATAAAATAGCCCTCCATTTATAACAAGCTAAGGCAGCTGATAATACATCAATTGCAGTTTTTAAGAGTACATTAATATATAAACATCAGTTTGCTTATATACCTAACATCATGAAAAGGGACATGGATTTTCTGAATTTCCATCCAAATCAGAAATATATTTTTGAAAATATATATCGACGGACCAATGATGTGAATTCCAAGAGTTTATATATCACGGTTGTATATTCCAGTTTTGAACTTTGCTTCAATTTTAAGTAAATTTAAAAACAGTTCAAACTCAGCAATTATGTTGAGCACTGTTAAGGCGCGTAAACAAAAGTCTTTCAATTAAATAATGTGTCTGCCTTCATTGATATTCAATATAAAGTGATCTACATTCTAGTTTATTTTTTCCATAGTAAATTAAAAGCAGGATCAAAAATCGTTTTCTCATTACCGGTCATACAAATTCAAACATAAACATGCGGATAGTTATCCATTGGGGATATAAGGTTGCTAATCTTTTGGAGGGTAGTTTAGATTATGGAGTGATCCAACCCAACCGTAACGATGGCGAATTATAAGCCGCAAAAAAGCGCGTGATTTACAGATTGGAGTCATTGATGCCTGACGAACTAGGTGGTAATGGAGAGGCTCTATTTTCTTTAGCGTAATTGGCCGAGGTACAAGGGACCATGTGATATGTGAACGGGGAAACGAGAGAATCGACATATTGTGTAAACTCTCGGGCTCTACTTAATTAGTGTATGTAGAACTTTACCAGTCATACACATCCCGATATATCGTTTTACTTTCAAAATAACGATAATGATACATAGAACGAGAATGAAAACAGTACCCCAGTCCCCCACGACGCTGTGAAAGTTTCATGCAACTTTCTCCGGGCTATTTTTGCAAATAATTGGCCTACTAAGGTGTTTCCTGAAGTAAAACAAATATGTTGCATAAACCTCCCGGTGTGGTCAAAAAAAGATCAGGGATATCTGATGATGGGCACCACTGTGAGCCTTTCGGGACAGCACACGCCAGATGTGGGGAAATCATTTTGATTGCATCCCGTTAATAGTGTCATTAATGTCATCATTAATTTGAATATCGAAATGGGATTATCATAATTCTAAACAATCACATGTTAAGTTTTATTTCAAAGTTTAAGAAGCTTCCATATAGATTTACTTTTTAGTTTTACCATACCTAGATCTGCATGTAGATGGATGCATTTAGAACAAATTATTTGGGGGTGTGACCTGATTATCTCAAATGGCTCTATCTACACGCTAACTAATCTTGAAACGGTCGAAGAACAACCCAAACAGTGTCTGCGACGACAGAGGTACATTTACGGGTAAGATAACCAGGAAATATGTGTCCCATAATGCTAGTAACTCACTCAAAACATTCCACGCAAGTACAGACCACAAGAGCTGTTGAAACCTGACCAGATTTATAGCCGAAAAAGTATAAGATATGATTGCAAAATATGCCCTACAATCTCTAAACTCTGACAATCAGGCAGTGAGCCACTGGGTGAAAAAGACCAATATTTGTTTTCTGCGCAGGTTTTCTGCGCATCTTCTTTCGGCTGAAATATTTAGGCTATTTTCATCCCGAAATACTCTCCAACTATCAAAGTACTCGTAACCTACGTCTGGCGAACTTATTGAAGAACATTTTAAGACCGAATTCGTGGAAATTGATCAATTATATCGAGTATAACTTGCCGATTGAATTTTTTTTCGAAAAATTGATCTTCCCTTTTTCGTAGATTTTGACTAAACGCCGACTCTGCCCCGATTTTATTTTTTAACTAAACGATTGCCATTAATGTCATGTTTCCAAATAACGTAAAACCACAAGTGAGCCTTGAGTGGCCCGATGAAGATACACTTTTTCTTTTTCAGTTTTGTAGATTTATCGAAAAAAACAAGATGGCGGCCGAAATAATTTTTCGAAAAGTCCAATTCAGAATATATTTTCTTTGATACTAACATAAACAGAGTCGTATTCAATTTTTCGAGGTTATAATTACTAAATATAATGTTTATAACTTCTATTCCAGCACCAGACGAATGCCTAGGTTCGTGAATCGTGTAAAAATCGTCCATGATTGATTATTTCAATTTTTCAAGAATTTTTTTAGAATGTTTTTGTCATTATCCGCTTCGTACATGTCATACCATCAAAAGACTAAAATTGTCAAATGATATATTGTTATTCTTCAATTAGTGTTTTGAAAACGGTTATCGTACACTATAAAAAAGTTCTATATGTAGAGTTTTCAGGTGAACCATGGGTTCCAGATGGTGGTAGTCCATGGGTGAACAGAAAGTAGAAAAGTCAAAACTGACTGGGAGTCATGTACACCACAGAGTGGGTAAAGGCTAGAGACCAAGAACTGAACCAAATAATAACGACAAAACAATCGATTTGGACACCAAGGGCTACTCTTTCCATCAAAAAGTTAATGTTTTCTTGACATAGACATGTAGCACTGGGGCTAGTGCAGTAGTGTGAAGACTAAACTAGCATTTCATATTATCAGCATATTGTGCACTAAGAAAGCAAGGGGATTCAAATTCAAAAATATTTCTCTATCTATGTATGCGTACAATACTGAAATGCTATCCTACATGGATATTATAACAGAATAAAGTATTTGCTTAGTTCATATACAAAGTTATATATATTTATCAAAAGATCATGATTTCCATGTCTTTGCTAAGCTTTATTTCATGGAATGTTATCATTATATATTGTGATATACTGCAGCATTTCATATTATCAGCATATTGTGCACTAAGAAAGCAAGGGGATTCAAATTCAAAAATATTTCTCTATCTATGTATGCGTACAATACTGAAATGCTATCCTACATGGATATTATAACAGAATAAAGTATTTGCTTAGTTCATATACAAAGTTATATATATTTATCAAAAGATCATGATTTCCATGTCTTTGCTAAGCTTTATTTCATGGAATGTTATCATTATATATTGTGATATACTGCAGTGAAACTGGTAAAAAGTTACATATTTCAGTATTTGTAAAATCTTTGTGAATACTGAATAGTATACAGATTCATATATCATTAATGCAAAATAAAAAAGCAGTTGATTCTTTTGGGCTCAAATGTACACACAAAACATAGCACCTTTCATACAAATGTTCATGAGCTATTTGAAACCTGTATAAAGCAAAAAATAAAACAATACTACATTTGCAATACAAAAAACTTCCTAAATGCCAATTAGCATGTTCCCATACCAAATAATTTTTACAAAGTACTTGTTAAGTGTATTTTCACCCAAAAGAAATACCAAAATGTTCAAATATAGGTCAAATGTCATCATTTGAAGCAAAATATAGAAAATGCTAGAACTTGGGTAAAATGTACTATAGTAGCCAATGGCACACTTATGTGAATAACAGTACAAAGCAATAATGAATTGCCTCAAATACCATGATTGTTTAGAGAATTGCACTTTACTTCAGTATTCGTTACACACATGAACATCTTTCTTTATATTTACTTGCATAACATGGCTTTACTTGTAAATACCCATATATCTGTAAGCCATAGATATACCATTGCATAAATTTACATATATTTGTACCTAATGCTTCATGTTATACTAATATGTTATTCAAAATTTTTGTATTGACTTCTGACTATTTCTAACTACTGAAACTTATTTTCTCGCTTACATATTTTCATTGATTTAATACACGTTATATAACACAGGGCTT